CACACACACACACACACACACACACACACACACACACACACACACACACACACACACTTGCTTTCACATCATGAATTGGAGGTTTCTTTAGGGTGTTTTGTAACAGTTCCTGGAAGGATTAAGCCCATTGGTTGGTCACAGCTAAGTGCTGATTATTTTGGATCAGATCATTACCTTGCTGAGAAAAATTTCCTGACTTGGAGTTCAGCCTTGGACAGGATGGCCGGGAAGGAAAAGGAAGGCTGTGCTTAGCAGCAGCTGCTGGGTCAGGGAGTTTCCTGCTGCTCCGTACCTCAGCGGTGGTCTTTGGGGAAGGTACTGAACTCCATCTTTATAAGTTCTCTCCAGAACCTCTTCCTTTGAGTCACCCAAGGGACTGCTTGTGTGGCTATTCCACTCCCCATCTGGTCATTACTGGGGGTCAAGGAAAGAATCCCCATATTCTTATCTGCAGGTAAAACTTTTTACCATGAAATGAAGCACTAACTACTACCTATACTAAAGGAAGGGGATGGACATTATTTGCTGTTCCTGTTATTTTATTAATATCAGGTAAATATGTATATAGTTTTAAACTGATTGAATCGATGTAGTTAATGCTCCTCTCTGAGAAAAATAGCCAATTTTGAAAATGTACCTCTTATGCTGTAATTTTCATTAGGTAAACAAAAAACATATGATCTAAACCTTGTTTAGAATAGATATTCGCCAATGGAGAATTATTTGCAATATGTCTAAAGTTCTCTAAATTTCTACCTTCTGTTAATTAACTGGAAAAATCTTGTTTTTTCATTTTTTAAGGAGATATACATTATACATGGTAGAAATCAAGCTATAAAAATTTTAACTAATTCTGTTTCTTTCTCTATGCCCATTTTATAATGATACCCTATTAGCAGCAAGTTCAAAAGCAGCATGTTTAATAAACTGGGGCATTTGCCATATGGCACTGAACTCATACTAATGTAGTGTGACCCTGGCTTTCTAAGTGTGGGCTGGCAGTTTCCAATCCGTACTTGGGTCCTGACATTCATCAAACTTCAGGGAGTCCATATGCCTGGGTCTGTGTGGTTTAGGGTAATGAAGAAATTTCAGAAAACTCAAATGTTAATCTCCCATGTAAAAGCATTGTTTTTCAAAGATCTTTAAAGACACATTTAGCCTTCATTTGGCATGGCAGCTGAGATGAAAATATTTGCATTTCTAGACCACATTCCCTCTCTCTTCAGGACGAGTGGATTCTTAAATGTGGCTTGGGAAGGGAAGGCACATTGTTCATCTGCCATCTTCTGTTCCACCAATTTATCACAGATGCTTAAGGGGGGGCTAAGTGTGGGTAGAAGCAAAACCTTGTTTCTTTGACTTTACATTCTTATCTGTAAAATACAGAATTGAGGCTGTTCCCTGCCTTTCTGGCTTTCACAATCTAAGATTAATTACCTCTTTCCAAAATAATCTCAATTTTAGATTTATAAATCCATCTATTTACACACATAGAGTATTCATTTCTGCAGAATGTCATTTTAAAAAATCTTATTTATTGCACTGACATGTGGGGGGCCCAGCAAACATTTATTGAATACTTGCTGGTGCAAATCTTCTTGCTAGATGCTTTTACTCATGAACCTGTTTACGCCTCACAATAACTCTAAACATTTAAGGAAGCCACAATTCAGACGTTAGATAACTTGTTCAAAGTTCCAAAGACAATTAAGTGGTAGGGCAGGGCCAACATTTGAAACCATTTGTCTGTTTCCAAAATTAAGAACTATTTACTATGCCACTCTGCCTCTGACATTAGCATCTATTCTTAATATTTAGATTAAATTCTGTGCATTTATACAGGATCTTCATTTAGTTAAAAGGTAAACCATAAATAACAGAACCTGGGTTAAACTTCAGAGCTTTTCATCAGAGTAGATGGATCATTTAGAGAAAGTTAATTTTCTGTCACTGACAGATCCTGGGAGAAGAGAGATGACCATTGTGGGAAAGTTTCCAGCTGGGATAGGAAATGGACCAAATATGAATTAGCAGTATCACCTATGAAGTATTCTTGCCAGTAGTGAGTTTATTCAAATTTTTGTTACACCTTCTACTTCATACAGAATTCAGAAACTAGACAAACAACTGGCACCACAAGGAAATAAACAAATCTAGGAGGCAGGTCATCTTGTAGACAACTGGTCTGGACTTTTCAACAATTAATACCATGGTACAAAAAGAGAGTGGGGAGG